ACCATGTAGAAAGGCCTTCCGCTTTTTCCGGCAGACTCATGCAGTGGTCAGTGGAACTCTGTCAGTTTGACATCTCCTACCGGCCTCGAACAGCAATTAAGGGACAAGCTGTCGCAGATTTCATCCTAGAATTCACTAATCCTACCCCAACCGCTGCGCCCCCACCCCCACCAACCCCTACCGAGCTAGAAGACCCGCATTCATGGACTCTCAACGTCGACGGATCATCCCGCAGGGAAGGTAGTGGGGCTGGCCTCATTCTCACCGCCCTTGAGGGTGGCTATTTCAAATGTGCTATTCATTTCTTGTTTAATGCCAGTAACAATGAGGCCGAATATGAGGCATTGATAGCAGGAATCCGCCTCGCCAAGGACATTGGAGTCAGCCACATCCGGGTGTTCAGCGACTCCCAGCTTATCGTCGGCCAGATTACGGGGGAATTCGATGCCAAGAAGGACACAATGTGGGCTTACAGGGATATGGCCCTCCTCCTTGTTCGCCTCTTCAATACTTTCCACATCAAGCACATACCTCGGGCGAAAAACTCCAAGGCAGATGAGATGACTCAGTTGGCCTCTACAGACCAGTCCAACCTCAGCCACGATGTCCGCCTCGAATACCTAGCCCATCCGGCCATCTCACCCAACTTACAAGAAGTGCAGTTTCTCCAAAACGAACCTATCCCTTGGGAGTCAGACATCTTTCTATTTTTGACAACGGGAGAACTCCCAGATGACCAACAGCAGGCCGCCAAAGTCAGGGCCTGGTCGTCCAATTACAATCTGGTTAGTGGCGTCTTGTACAAACGTGGTTTTTCACGCCCATACCTACGATGCCTCAATTCGGCTCAAGCAACCTATGTAATGCGGTAAATCCATGAGGGAATTTGTGGTAATCATTCGGGCGGCATGTCTTTGGCCCACAAAATACTCTGTATTGGTTATTTCTGGCCAACTCTCAATCAAGATGTGACTGATTTCGTGCTCAAATGTGATAAGTGTCAACGTTTTGCCAACATCCCCCATGCTCCTCCTACAGAGTTGATCACACTTTGCAGCCCTTATCCGTTCGCCAAATAGGGGATCGACTTGGTCGGTCTACTTCCCACCGGCCGAGGTCAGACCAAGTTCGCGATCGTCGCTATTGATTACTTCACCAAGTGGGTAGAGGCAGAACCCCTTGCCACCATTACTGAGTGGAACACAACCAAGTTCATCTGGCAGTCGATCGTTTGCAGATTTGGCATCCCTTAGGCCATCGTCTTCGACAACGACAAACAATTTGACAACACCAAGTACAGGAAGTTCTGTGCCGACCTCCAGATTCAACCATGTTTCTCTTCCCCCGGTTATCCCCAAGCCAATGGCCAAGTCGAGGTCACCAACCGTTCTCTCCTGAAGATCATCAAAACTAAGCTCGAAGCTGCTAGGGACTTTGGGCTGAGGAACTACCGAATGTACTCTGGGCTTACCGAACTACAGCTCGGACTCCCACTGGGAAAACCCCTTTCCGCTTAACATACGGCGCTGAGGCGGTTATTCCAGTAAAAGTCGGTTTGCCTACTCCCAGGGTTTTACATCTGGATCCAGCACTAACCGAAGAGCTCCGTCGGCCAGACCTGGACCTAATTGAAGAACTTAGAGAGACCACCGCTGTCAGACTAGCCTCATACCAACAGAAAATGAGAACACACTACAACCGCAAAGTCCGACCAAGAGAGTTCGCTGTAGGGGACCTTGTCTTGAGAGAAGCAACTCTTGCTACCAAAAATCCAACTGAGGGTAAACTGGCAGCCAAATGGGAGAGACCTTACGTTGTGAAAGCCCGACCAAGTCTGGGCACTTACCGACTTCAGGACATGGAAGGTCGAGACCTCCCCCACCCATAGAACGCCGAACACCTGAAACGTTACTTTCAATAAGCTCCTACTTTTGTACCGCTCAGTTATTGTATTTTTTTTTGGAAAATTTACACATTCTTGATATCCCCTTACGCAATGTAACTTTTTGATTAACTGGGTTACACTTTTCCTGTCAACAATTATATATCTCAGTTATCTGTATGGTGTCTCAATGACGTTTTGATTGCAGCACTCATGAAAAGCCTCAGCCAGACTGAGCATCATAAAGCCTCAGCCAGACTGAGCATCAAAAAGCTTCGTCTAGACCGAGCATCAAAAAGCCTCAGCCAGACAGAGCATCATAAAGTCTCAGCCAGACTGAGCACTAAAAAGCCTCAGCCAGATTGAGCATCATAAAGCCTCAGCCAGACTGAGCATCATAAAGCCTCAACCAGACTGAGCATCAAAAAGCCTCAGCCAGACTGAGCATCATAAAGCCCCAGCCAGACTGAGCATCAAAAAGACGCAGCCAAACTGAGCATCAAAAAGCCTCAGCCAGACTGAGCATCATAAAGCCTCAGCCAGACTGAGCACTAAAAGCCTCACCCAGACTGAGCATGAAGCACTTGGCCAGACCAAGCCTCAGCCAGCCTAAGCATAACAAGTCTCAGCCGGACCAAGCGCCATAATTTCAGGTTCAGACTGAGTTCCTTACAACGTCAGTGAATCATAGCTTAGCCCCAACTGAGCACGCGTGCAGGGCTCGGTCAAAGCCATCTATACAAACTTCATGCTTATGGAATTAGTAAACACACTTAGTCATAATTCCAGGTCCAAGTCTTTACACCACTCTTTGCTTAGTCAAATTCCAAAGATGTTCTTACACGTTTTCTTTACAAGTCAGGTTATTTTCTTCTCAATCAAACTCTTACAAGTCAGCCTGTTTCCTTACAAGCCAAGCCTCACTCCAATAAACCACTAATCTACTTCAGCAGTGTGGCAAACACAAACTTATAATTTTACTACATTTTAAATTTCACTCTGCATTGAGGAGTTCCTAACTTTACCCTGTATTGAGTTTTTATTACAACTTCAATTTCACTATACACTGAGGAGTTCTTAAATTTAGTTCTTATTACAAGTTTAACTCCACTTTGCACTTCACAATGAGTTATACATGCCTCGCCCACGCCTCATTCATTTCAGTTGCACAAGCACAGACAATCAAATGAAAACATAATTGCAATTTTATTTATTTAGAAATTTGTACATGAGTTCATTACAGCCATTCAAAACAAAAAACAAAACAAAACAACAAACAAAACAAACACAAACACACAAGTTCTATGCAAGGCCTTCTTCTTCTTCTTTAAACTACTCTTCTTCAGTGGACACAAGGCCTTCTTCTTCTTCTTCAAACTACTCCTTTTCACTGGACACAAGGTCTTCTTCTTCAATACCCTCATCAAGGGGGGTATGGGCCACATCGTCGTCATCGATTTTCACACTACTCAGGTCCAAGTCTAGGAACAGCTCCTCAACTTTACGCTTGAACATTTTCCAACCACTGTCCCAGAACTTCGCCATTTCGTGCTTATAAAAGTTTGACCGCTGGAAGCTTTCAATCACTTCTGCCTCAGTCCTTCCTCCAGCAATCGTCCTCGATGGACCCGCTTCCTCAGACTCCTCCCTCGCCAAGCTATTGGTGATCGCGGCATCCATTGCCATCTGAAATTCAGCAGACCCCTTGAACTGGTCCACTGCTGCCACATAAAGGTTGGGGTAAGCCGCCCTTTCAGAGGCTGCCTTAGCCCTCTCCTCCGCCAACTCCTTCTGAAGGCTCTCCTTTTCAACAGTTGCCTTGGCTTTTTCTGCCTCCAACTCCTTCTGAAGACTCTCCTTTTCAGCAGCCGCCTTGGCTCTCTCTACTTCTAACTCCTTCCGAAGGCTCTCCTTCTCCTTCACTGCCTTAGCACACTCGCCCTCCAGCTCTTTTTACAGACCGTCAATCTTCACGTCTGCCTCATCCTTTTGCCTGACCAGCTCTTCATTACTGCTCATCGCCTCTTCATGTCGTTCGACCTCGACCGCGACCGCGCAGGCTTTTTGGGCCTCATCTAACCTCTTTTGCTCGCCAGCCAGTTAGAACTCGAGCGACACAACCTGGCGGCGTGTGTTCTCCAGCTCCACCTTGACCGTTTGCAGCTCAGCGTGGGCACTCTCCCAGTTTGCGCTCTCCTTTTTCAACCTTACAAGTTGAGCCTTGGCCTCATCTGCCTTGAGCTTTGCAGCCCCAGCCTTCCTCAGCAGAGCCCCTGTTAAGGTGGTTACCTCCATTTGAGCGGAGCATAACCCCCTCAGCAGTTCAGCCTCATTGAATCTGGCTACTGATCGCAAGGCTGTCTCTTCTACAATCCCCACAAGGCGGTCTGCCCCTGCCCTAGCTGGGCCTTCTTCTCCCTCCAACCGTCCAGCCA